ACCCTAAACCCTAAACCCTAGAAAACCCTAAACCCTCATAAACCCTAAACTCTAAACCCTAAACCCTAATTAACCCTAAATAGTATATTATTCTAAACATTAATTTAGGAATAGTAGCGGGGTTATGGGGATTCTCTTCTTGTGGTGTATCTTGAGGCCGTTTTTGTAGAATCCACGAATTAGGGTTTAGGGTTTAGGGTTTAGGGTTTAGGGTTTAGGGTTTGGGGGTTGAATAATCGTTAGTTGAGTATTTATGCTCTTTTTCTTGTCATTTCCAATACATTGCTAGGGTTTAGGGTTTAGGGTTTAGGGTTTCTATATAATTTTATTTTATTTGTGTTTTTTGCAGGGCATTAGTCTTATGTATTTGTCAATTAAGTTGTTGGAGGGGACGTAACTTATTTATTTCTTTTCTTTTTATAACTAATTTTTTATTAGCTGCTCTTGCCTTTGGATTAGATTGGAGACAAGCTACTGCTGTACAAATCACAGGAAAAAGACCTGCAGCACTATGGTAGGGTTTAGGGTTTAGGGTTTAGGGTTTAGGGCTTAGGGTTTTGGGTTTAGGGTTTAGGGTTTAGTAGGGTTTAGGGTTTAGAGTTGATGGGCGTTCGTGATGACTGTCTTGGACTTTGTTGGGAGGGATGAGGGTATGGGAAAGGGGAACCTTGAGGGTTGAGGGTTTAGGGTTTAGGGTTTAGGGTTTATTGCAGGGTTGCGTCGCGGTTAATGAGGAAGTTGCAAGATGTGCTGCAATTGCTCGTCTTTATCTTTGTTTCTTTGGGTATGCAGCAACAAATAAATAAATAAATTAAATAAATAAAATAAATAAATAAAATAAATAAATAAAATAAATAAATAAAATAAATAAATAAAATAAGTAAATATAATAAAAAAATAAATAATGTAATATATAACTAATGAATATACACAAGAAAAAACACTGGAAATACATACATGAAGCATATCATCCTTTTGAGGGTTTAGGGTTTAGGGTTTAGGGTTTAGGGTTTTCTAATGTTATTTATTTCTTTTAATGTATATTATATATATCTTTTTTTTTTGCATGCAATATGCATGCATGCAAATATATGCATATAAATAATAATATATCTAATAATTTATTTATTGATTTATTTATTCATTTAATTAATTAATTAATTTATTTATTTATTTAATTTATTTATTTATTTATTTATTTATAATTAGGGTTTCGTATAGTTCGTCCTTCGTTAACAAGATTAGAGATTCAATTTATTGCTGGTCTTGCCGTCATTTCTCTTTATCTTGGTGTTTTTGAAGTCTTATTAGGAGGGTTTCAGGTAAACCCTAAACCCTAAACCCTAAACCCTAAACACTAAACCCTAAACACTTAATTACATATGGTGTTTTTGAAGTCTTATTAGGAGGGTTTCAGGTAAACCCTAAACCCTAAACCCTAAACCCTAAACCCTAAACACTAAGTTATAAATTCAAAGTCTTATTAGGAGGGATTCAGGTAATAAACAACAAACCCTAAACCCTAAACACTTAATTATATATTATATATGGTAGATTTGAAGTCTTATTAGGAGGGTTTCAGGTAAACCCTAAACCCTAAACCCTAAACACTAAAAATTATATAGGGTGTCTTTGAAGTCTTATTAGGAGGGTTTCAGATATTAAACCCTAAACCCTAAACCCTAAACCCAAAACCCGAAACCCTAAACACTAAATTGTGAACACTAATGACTTAACCAAGGGGTGGTTAGATAAAGTAGCGTATTTTTATTTCTTTTTCTTTCTCCCTCTCCTCCTCCCCTTTTTTTTTCTCTCCTTTTACACCTAAATAATTATTATTATTTATTTTATTTTTTTCTTCTTCTTTTTTTTTCTTGCAGGAAACGCGTTATATATTCCATGCTGCAGGTTATGTGAGGGTTTTGATTGCTGTACATTCAAATATTGTATTATTACATGTCCGTCTTCCTAAACCCTAAACCCTAAACCCTAAACCCTTTTTTTTTTTTTAAAAAAAATATATATATATTTATATTATATTAATTTAATTAATTAATTATTTTTGTTTGTTTGTTTGTTTGTTTATGATTAAACAGAATCAAATAGCTGATTCAAGTTTATCTTCTGCTGTTGCTGAATATTATCCTAAACTTGCAGCATATCAGTAAGGGTTTAGGGTTTAGGGTTTAGGGTTTAGAGTATTTATAGTTATAAAATAGGTATTTCCAATCAATTTTTTTTGTTTTTCCTGCCAATAAAGAAAATAAAGTAAATAAATAAATAATAAAATAATATAAATAAATATAAATATATACATTTTTATTTTTTGTTCTTTTTTTATTGACAGGCGTTTCCGTTGGATATTTTTTGCATTTTTATTAAAACCTGTATTTTCTGTATTTTTTAAAGTAACAATTTTAAGTCCAATTTATGAACAATTACTTTCTTGGGATGAATGGATCTTTGTACTCTTTGATAGTCTTGCAGATTTTGCTGTTCTTGCTGCGGTAAGCTCCTCCTCCTCCTCCTCCTCCTCCTCCTCCTCCTGTTCATTGTTGTTGTGGTGGTGTTGCTGCTGTTGTTCGTGTTTCTTGGGATGAATGGATCTTTGTACTCTTTGATAGTCTTGCAGATTTTGCTGTTCTTGCTGCGGTAAGCTCCTGCTGCTGCTGCTGCTGCTGCTGCTGCTGCTGCTGCTGTTGCTCGTGTTTGTGGGGATGAATGGATCTTTGTATTCTTTGATAGTCTTGCAGATTTTGCTGTTCTTGCTGCAGTAAGTCTATAGTTGCTGCTGCTGCTGCTGCTCCTGCTGCTGCTGCTGCTGCTATTGTTGTTGGAGGTGGTGATACTGTTGGTGTTGGTGATATATATTTATATTTATTTATTTATATTTAATTAATTAATTAATTAATTAGTTAATTAATTAATCTTTTTTTTCTTTTTTTTTTGCAGCTTTGTTGGGATTTCTGCCCTCCAAAGAAATTCAAAGTATTGGAGGTAAGAAGAAAAAAAGGAAAA